TTCATTCCTGATGATGACATAATTAATGTCGAAATATTGAATCCCAACACGATGGCGTGTATTTCAATACTTGGAGTATGTATTATACTTTCTTATCTGAGATTAATCAGTGGACCTTTCGGTATATGTATGTGCATTCATATACAGGTATATAAAAACTGGAAGGCTGCATTGGCAAACAAGATAGTAAATTACAAAAAAAAAACTCTGGAAAGATGTTGCCAGGTATATTTATTAAATCCAAATTATGTAAATTATTAACATTTCTCAAGAATTTTTGTTACTATAGGCCTAGGCCTAATTCTAGTTTTTAACAGCCAACCATAACTAATCCCCATGCATTTTGGTTGATAAAAACCTCAGGGCTGAAATCAAAAGTTAATGAATCCAATTTTTAAACCTCATTCAAGCATTTTAGGCCACTCTGCAAAATAAAAGCTGACTTATATTTTGTTTCTCTCAGGCTTGGCCTTGATATAATCCTAGGAAGCTGACAAATGCATGTTTGCAAAATTGTTTGACATGCGTTGAAAAAAGAATTGAATAGGATTTTGTGAATAAAAAAAAATTCTGTTCCTGGGTTGCAGTCTGGAAATGGAACTTTCCAGACTGTCATTCAAACTTAACTGACCAATCAGAAGACTGCCAGGAATAAGTGGGTATCCCACAAACGCACATGTTTACATATTTGTTTACACTGTCGTCTTGTGAGATCTTAGGAACAATATGCAATTGGCAGGGTTTAGCGAAAGGTCCATTCTACCAGTTTCAAAAGCATGTCCATGTTTATGATGGACAACTAAAAAAATGTCAGTCATACTGCAAGAATCAGTAGCAAGCTTAAGCGGATCCAAGCAGACCATGTTTCCAATACGCCAGTATCCCTATTTTTACACGCTGATTCAATTTTCTGATCTGTTTGGTAGGCTTTCCGACCGAAACTTTGGATTCAGTGTAAATGAAACTAAATTCACAATCTCAGCAGTTAAATGGGTAGAGCATTGCTTTTTGTTGGTAGATAAAAAAAAATGCTTATAATTTCAGTCAAAAGCATGATACACCTTCACTCAATAAGCCAGTACGTGTGGAATTTATCCATTTTGCCTGCAAACAAGCCAGAAGGTGGCTACAGCTTCACTCAATAAGCCAGTACGTGTGGAATTTATCCATTTTGCCTGCAAACAAGCCAGACGGTGGCTACAGCTTCACTCAATAAGCCAGTACGTGTGGAATTTATCAATTTTGCCTGCAAACAAGCCAGACGGTGGCTCAAACTCGAGCGCAACATGTCGCACTTTCTTCTTAATTTCAGTGAAAAACATCTGAAAAATAATAAGAATTAAGATTGTTATTTTTTCTGTTTTTAATATCCTTTAAATTTAAATGGCCAATGATCCTCAAATGGCCTGCCAGCGGGACTAAGCATAATCCAGTCCAACATTTACTTTATCCCCTCAAATATTGAGGACCAGCAGGCTGTATCCATAGGGGGATTGGGGATGTGCAAAGATGGACCAACTGAGGTCAGGGGGCAAAACCATTTGAATCGCAGTTTTGATTTTTCATTACGACAAACAATAGATTGCTGGTTAAAATGTAAAAATTTAAGACTACCTTTTAATTTGAATTACAGAAAATAACAAATGTTATATTTAGTACATTCATGGACCTCTCTTATTGGGGAGGGGAGGAGAATGTGTATGCACCCATCACACCCCCCTAGATATCAACCTGAGACCACTGACACACAACAAGATGCGCTCTCCTAGATAACATTAAACATGGAAGTACACATGAGGAATTTAAGGACAGAAATAAACATTCCAAGACTAAACAACATTAAATGCAAAAGAAAATTTTACATCTAAGATATATAAAAATTGAAGTACAGTTAAAGATATACAAACCTCATCATACGAACTTTCATAAAATTCAGTTAAGTCCCATTCCACCTTAGGGAATGGTCTTGAAATACTTCCAGCTGATGTGGCCACATTAGGGACGTAGTGTAACTTCAAGGTCTCTAGTTCCAAGAGGGAGCTCTCCAGTGCCTTGCACTTGGAAGGATCCATTTCCTCCACCAGGAATGGGTCATCTGAAGTAAATATTAACCATATTTTATTATCCATCAGTTAGGACCTTACTACAACACAGTGATATCTTTACACTGTCTCAGGCAATGAGAACAGGTAAATGTCACCCCCAGTGTTTTGTTTTGTGGGAGTGGAAAATCATAAGAGCAGATGGTTATACAATACACTGTACATTTAAATGTTTTCAACAATTTTCGACCTATGAGCTATAAACCATGAAGCTTTATAAATGCTAGAATGCAAAGTAGCATAGTTCCTTGGGTATAAGCCCACTTCAGACAAAAGCCCAGGGTATGAACTTTATAAATATTCTCAGAAAAAATATCTAATATTGGCTTTGAATTAGGCATACAGTGCTAAAAATTGCAATTGGATTGAAAAGGGGATTCCTCAGGTATAAGTCCATCCTCAAAAATTGGCCCAATTTTGTGTTCAAGGGAATTGGGTTTCCAGAGGAATGGTACAAGCATAGTTTATCGAAAGCTTCAAAGATGTATTATTCAGGAATTTTTCAGGGTATATGCAGTTTTTATCCAAGGATATATTTAGGATTTATTCACTGTATATTGCATGGAATATCAAGGTTTTTTTCCCTACGATTTATTCAGTGTATAAATGCATAACCATTAGATACCTTTTAATGGTTCGGAGTGTCTGGTTATAAGCACCTTGCAAGTTGGATGTCATTTGATCAAGTTGCAAACGAATGGAACGACAAGCATTACAGCCGGAGGTGGTGCAGTTAATGCCAATCTCGACAACTTCTTTGCAAAGGCAGCGACTAGATATGCTGGTAAATGCCTAGTGGAAACAAAAGAAATGTTTTTCGCAAGATTTTAATAATATGTATATATTTGTCCATTGCGTATTTATAAAGGCATGTGGTAAGTTTGTTTCTTTTATATTTAATTGAAATTAAATAGAAGCCACAGGTTAATTCTCTGCAATTTGATTGGTTATTCTCTACATATTGGTACCTTGTAACTGTACATACGCAAGTCAGATTGTATACATAATTTATTCCTGAAGGAAGATGAACTAATAAAGTTTGAAATATTAAATCACAAAGGCTTGTACTGTATCCACAGTTTCTTTCATACTATCTTATGTCAAACTTATTGTTGAACCAAATGGCTTTTAAAGATGCAGTATATTAAACCACTTCAAATTTGTAAATGCAAAGCTCAATTACTGGCATATATTATTGTATGCATTTATATAATATAATAATTATGTATATTATTAAATTATATTAATTATACTTCTGTTTATTGATAATACTTACGAAGACGACAGAAAAAGATCAGCAAGATAAAAGAAGCGGGCCTTGTATTTAACATGAAATATTGATGGCGCCAATAATGAGTACAATTTCTTGTAAAATTCAGGATATTCTCTAAAAAAAAAAAAAAATTAAAATATTTGTATGTTTATTACTGATGTCATATTACATAACAATCACAAAAAAATGTATATAAGATACTATATGAAATATATGGTCATACTTACAGATTATGTTGTGTCATCAAGATAAATATAGCATTGAGGGCTAGCAGACTAATAGCGCCACCTAGTAACAAATGAACATAACCACATGATAACAGAAACAACAGTATTACATGCCCATATACAGACACATCATATACTATATATAGGCAAACAACAGTTTTTTGTCACAGAAAATTTGATAGAGTGGGCAGTTTAAAATCTGAACAGGACTAACCTCTGGGAAGAATCCAGAGTTCTTCAAACGGGGAAGGGGGGGGGGGAGAACAACTCAAACGGGGAAGGGGGGGGGGGGGGAACAACATTTTCAGAATAGTAAGTTAGTAGCACTTATTTCAATACATAATATTGATATGCTTAGTAATATTAAAATTTAGTGGGAAAACGGGGGAAAACATGCCCCCGATGGGGCCCCATCGCCTGACCCAAGTCTCACATTGAGTCTTAGGGCGTGGAAATGAATGATTCTCAAACTTACCAATATTGTATGATGCAGTGAGAAAATCAGTCAGCATTACCGGGCTGCTCATATTAGGTATAATCTTATCATGCATCATAAAAAGAACTTTCTTATAGACATGTAGAGGGAGGGACAGCAGAAGAAAGGACAGCCATGCATTTGAAAATGCTTTACGTTGCTCCTACAAACAAACAAAAATCAAATATTCATTCCAGTTATAAAAACACACACTGCATGAAGTTTTGTTTTGTAGAGGTGGTAGCAAAAAAGGATGTTTTTTTGTATGAGAACTAATAATAATTATGTGGAACTGTAGGTTGGTGGTTAAGATGCCTGGATTCAATTCCTGTCAAAGTAACAAGGTCTTCTCATGACCAAAAACAACTCCACTCCCTAAGCCTTATAATGAGAATTAGGGCATCTTGTGTGAAGTTTGTTCTGTGAAGGATTGCTCATTAGTAAAGTGATTAAGTTTGCAATTGGCATATCCTTGACCTAAAACTAATCATATCTGTCAGTTACAAATTTAGAAAACTCACTGTTACCAGAAGAAGGATATGGGACATCAAGAACTCTAAGCTCATAGCTTCAAAGTGCCCATTTGAGCAAGCTGTTCAATGCCTTAGGAGAGGGGAAGACACACCTTGCATAAAGGCCAACTCAGACAGCGTCGGCCGACACAGCCCGACGCGATTTGTTGTCGCGTCGGGTCTGTGTGAGTTGAACGCAGACGCGATGGTGTGCGTCGGTGGCAGTCACGTAGTAGAATATTAAACATGTTTAATATTTCTCACGACGGCTTAAGACTGTCCCCGACGATAAATCGGGTCGGGCTGCGTCGGCCGACTCTGTCTGAGTTGGCCTTAAGAGTCTGCTTTTTTCCATTTGTATTTCTGGGTGTTAAATTGCTTTACACAAGGACAAAAATGAATGCACAGCAAGATTTTGGAACCTCTGACATCATGATGGGGAATCCAGACCACAGTCACAATTTATAAAATTTTGAGTATAATCACCTTTAACTGTGTTGCTCTTATCTCTTCATCATCAGGAGGTAATGGAGTTAAAAAATTGATCAAAGTGTCCTCTTCTGGCATGGTAACCTGCTCCAGTAAACAAAGAGTGTTCTTGCAAAACATCTCTTCTTCAACCTAAAGTATACCAATTTTCGAATATTTCACTCAATATTTTCTGCGGTCCCAAACTTAATCTAAAATCATGTATTTTTTTAAATATGCTTATACGGTAGCTACTTTCTTCAGAATACGACTAATATTGTTTTTTTCATTACTTTGGTATAAACAATTTCCCACACTTTTAAAGCCAGGTTGAGAGCCAGGCGGAGGAGAAAAATGTTTTGATACAGGGGCAGATCCAGTAGGGGGGAGCACAAGGGGCACGTGCCCCCCGTTTTGCCACTAAATCTTAAAAATTTCAATGCATATTAATGTTATGTGTTACTCACATATCTATTCTGAAACAGTTGTGCCCCCTAATGCACCCCCCCCATTTGAAAAATTCTGGACCCGCCCCTGTGATATGTTGTACAACTGATTTTTCTAAGACACAAATAGCATATTTGACAGAAATCTCAGAAGTGGTTAATGATATACAATTTTTTGAATATTTAAAAACTAGGGGGAAAGGGGTGTAACCCCATTTTTCCACCTTTTTCTCCCAGTTTTTAAATATTAAAAAATTTGTATCTCATTAATCGCTCCCAAGTGCCTGGCTTTGAGCATAATTTGGACATTCTTCACAATGTATTAACTTAAAATGAATGAGGATTTTTTTCCTATTACTTTGATGGTCTTTGTTATTACCTTTCTCTGTCCATGTTCCACTTTTTGCATTCTGCAATTCATTTCTCGTATCTTTCCACTGACAACCTCCAGGGTGTAATAACGCATGTCATCATATTCTAAGTATTCCTGAAACCTGACCATAAGATGGCTGAAGTCATTTGTACATGACAACAAACACGTCAATAATTTCTGTGAAGATAGCATTAAGCATTGTATAAGTTTGATTTATGATTTGATATATACTGTATATTTAGGTACACTGGCAATTTAGCTATATATTATTCATATATGTGAATCAAAGTACTGTAGCTACATAGGCCAAGTGACAAAATGAAACCACAGTCAAACAGATAGTCCAGTCAATCTGTGGTTTGACCTAGAACTAATTGCAACAGAAATAGTTTTTCCCCTTAGCAGCAGTATTTTCGTCTTTAGGTATTACTAACCCTCCCTATTGTTAAGGTTTCCCCCTATGGTAGGTTTTTACGCTTTATTATTATGTTACAATAACACCTAGCCCTGTCCACACTATCAAATTTTATTTGACAAAAACATGTGATATGCCTAAATATGGTCATGATGACATCATGCTATGACCATATACAGGCACATCATGACTACTGCATATATGGGCATACACCAGTTTGAAAATTTGATAATCTGGACAGACCTTTATATTACCTCCAATGGTGACCTTGGGAAAGTGTACTGCAAATTTTGAGTGTGTCTAAGTGGATGCCTAGACTCAGCTTCCAGCAGTTTGATTACTGTACACATAGCCAACTCCTGGCAAGAAGAAACATTTCATGTCAAACGTCAGGAGTTATTGAATAAGGAAGCGTGACTGAAATAAATATTGATCTGTTAAAGCAATAAATTGTATCATACTGTTTCCAATTTTGTTCATATCCAATTTAAAATCAATAACACAAATATATATATACGGATAATCTTGAGCTATTAAAGTTGTCGCCTGCAGTCACGAATGTTCATAGTTTGGTTTGCTGGTCCTTCTTATGGGTTTCGAAGGTTGGAGTATTTAAATAAAGTTGAGTTCCCACCAAAATATCTACTGTATATATAGCCAATACATCCAATATTTAAACCGTTGGTCCTGTTTGCATTTTGGCCCATGTGCACGTTATAGAATGTAGTACACTCTTAAAAAAAAAATAGGAATTCTCCCCAGGTGTATTCCCCAATTCACCACCTGAAGGAACCCACTAGAAATAAGTCTTGGGACTTAGTGGGTTATCCTTGGTGTGATTCACACCAAAAATACTCCTATCCTCCTAAACTAAACATTCATAGCTCTGTACCTGAGTGACTGATTTGGTATCTTTACTGGCAATCACATCAGTGAGACATTTAATGCAGTCCTTGTATCGTTCTTGCAACCACTGTTTATATTTCTTTTCACCTTCATTGTCATCTGTTAAGACCATTTCCTCTCGCGCAAGCAGGACAGTAAACATCCTCCCGAGTCCTTTGATAGCTGCCGAGACAATTCTCTTATCTGATTCCTAAATGAAGTTATGAATTGTGAATAAAATTGTTGAAATTAAACACTGGATCTTGAAAAAATCATTAAAAATAATAATAAAAGGTTATCCACTATATAAATGATACTAGGCCTAGAAAAAAACAATAAAATGAAAAGTCTTTTCACACTCAATCTGATCTTTAATAAACTTTGCTTTGATAATTATGAGGCCCATCAGAGCCTTAACAACGTACCTCCTTGAACATACAGTGCTAGTACTAGTAGACTAGAGTACAGCTCCACATTATGGGCTTAGCTAAACTAAGTAGGCCTAGGTCTAGACGGGATCCAGTAAAGTCGCCCCTTACAAAGTCGCCCCCTTGTCAAGTCGCCCTCCTAACCAATTCGCCCCCGTCAAGTCGCCCCCTAACCAAGTCGGTATTCGATCATTTCGGCTGCCGGGCCAAATGTATGGAACGCCAAAGAGGCCACCGAAAACACAACAGCCGCCAATGAGAAGAACGTAGTCATACAACAGCTGGATAAATATGTCAGTAACAAAAAGGAGAAAATATGTAAGCCTATAGGCCTACAGTGAATAATTAAGAATTTATTTACCGGTATAAAAACATAACGTATTAAAACAAGAATATTAATTAAAGTATATTTGTTTAAAGATCCAGTAGAATCATTCGTATTTAATCTCAGAGTCACGGTTATCTATACTTAGCCCTAAAGCGTTTAGGTCTAAAGCGTAGTCCACCACAAGCAGCCTGCCTATGCTAGCCTACTAGTATTAGTGAATTAGATCCAACTAGGCCACAGTCAACTCGGTCATAAGTCAGCTCGGCCACAAAAAGTTTGGCTACAGTCAACTCGGCCACAAATCAACTCGGCCACAAGCCATTTACTGGTACTGTACTACACTTTGAAGAAGTAATTCGTCAAGTATAAAATACTAATTTGGGATTCAGTGTTTCGGCATTGATTTTGTCATCCTCAGACATGATGATGACATGATGAGACCGGGCGGGCGCGCTGGTGTTCATTTGGTTACTCGGAGTGTGTATTATACTTTCTTATCTAAGATTATTTTTTTACTACATTGTTTTTTGTTTTATAGTTTTATACTACTTACATGTATACGGCCTTGCACGGCCTTGATGAAAAACACCCTTGGGTGAATCAAGTTTTACCGTGTTGAAATAAAGTATTTATTATTATTATTATTATAATTCTTTAAGTACTACTATACTTATTATTATTATTATTGCTGTTATTGTTGTCATTGTTGTTATTATTATAGTCGTTTTTATTACCGTTAAGTTTTAATATTAATTATTAGTCTTAGCATTACTGTAACATTATATATTGTTAAGTTTTTTGCTGATATTATTATTACCATATAATTAATAAATAATTTTTGATTTATCATTATTATTTATTAGTCTTAGTATTATTATTTTAATAATAGTAATTTAAAAAGTTATTGTTATTGGTGTTTTATTTATATTTTTCTCATATTATTAATATTATTGTTGTTGTTGTCAGCTTTATTATCGATATTATTACCCTATTATTACTAAGTTGGCCTAGTATTATAAGTATCATCATTATTATAATTACTAATTAGTATTACTATTATTATAAAAATAAACATTATCTTTAATTTATTATTGTTGTATTATTGCTATTATGACCTTCAATATCGTTATTATCACTAATTAGTATTATTAAAATAGATATTTAAATATCGTTATTATTACCATACTAGTATTATTATTACTATTAGTATTGTTAAAATAAATATTACTATTAATGTTGTTGTTGTTGTTGTTATCACCTTTATTATCGTCATAATGACTGATTAGTATTATTAAAGTAAATATTACTAATTTATTGTCGTTATTGTTGTTTAACTCTTTTTAATTCGTAGGCAATAGCATTCAAATCACTTTTGGTAGTGTGGTCAGGGAGTTATAACAACTCCCTGGTGTGGTGGTCCTGTTTTACTAAAATATACTGTACGTACTTCATTTCAATCATATTGAAGAAAAAGGATGTAAAAACTGAGATTTACATTTCATTTTAATAAATAATAAATAACTTGTGGCTGAGTTGACTTGGGGCCGAATTGACTTGTGGCCGAGTTGGCTGCAGCCGAACTTTTTGTGGCCGAGTTGACTTGTGGCCGAGTTTACGTGTGGCCGAGTTGACTTGTGGCCGAGTTGACCTGCACCCGTATTAGTAACTTGGCCTAGGCCTAGCCTAGTAATACTGGTGTAGAAAAGGCCGCCTAGCCTAGTCCAACTTAGCCAAGCCCTTACTTAATTAATACTTACTTATACTCTACCTACAGTACAGGGTGCCTACCTATACTACAGTTTATGTATGCCTATACTATCTTTTTTTTTGTCTTTCGTGGGTGCATCCCACCTTTATTTCAACCATCATATTTTGCAAAATTTGTTTTCAAAGAGGTATGTCAATATAATTTTTCCTACCAATATAATTTTTCCACAATGTATTGCGAAGTACGCAATAAATAATCCTATGTAACATGAGGGTAATTTAGGTATGGAGATACAACTCCACAGGTAATAAATACAGTTAATAAAATTTGAGATAAACATTATTCCCTATCGGATCCGAGCACCTTCCAATTATTGTTCAAATACGATAAGCATTTACATAATTAAAATATATATCTATTCCTATATTATATGCCTATACTATCTTCATCAAAATACGTTTACCTGAGTGAGCTTTAATATATCTATTATAAAATTAGAATTCTCTCTTCCAGCTAATGATTGTTCAATTTTAGTATTTATGTCTTTTAAAAATAGTTTCTTGGTGTCACGACTTTCCATGGGCGCAGCCATTTTTATTTATTATTCGCAACTTGAGGGCGCAACAAGAACTCTAACTTGCCTACCGTAAAACTTTTATTTTTTTATTATTTTTTTTTTATGGTTGTCAAAAAATAGATTTGTCTCAAATTTTTACCATGAATAGATACTTGGGTGAAAAGCATATCTATGATATTTGTTTAATTTTTTTAGCCTTCGTTGTCATGGCAGCGACCCATTATCTAAATTTTTAGAAGTGAAAAAACACTGACTTTCAGACCTTATTTAAAAAAAGAACATGCACTATATATATTTTTGTGATCATCCATGTAAATTACCAGGTATTAACTTTCATTTATCACAAAAAAAAATTGTGTGATACTATTGGAAGATACCATTATTTACAAAAGATTTCTTTTTTAAAGTATATATTTTTTTTAAAGTATGCCTCAGAAACCTATCTGTAACTTCCAAAGTGGTGCAAACATATCCACCATCTTCCATATTTTGATAGTCAATAGTTGTCCAAAATTACCAGGTATTAACTTCCATTTATCATTTAAAAAAATTGTGTGATACCATTGGAAGATACCATTATTTACAAAAGGGTTTTTTTTTTCAAAATATATATATTTCTTTAAGTATGCCTCAGAAACCTATCTGTAACTTCCAAAGTGGTGCAAACATATCTACCATCTTCCATATTTTGATAGTCAATAGTTGTCCAAACAATAATCAAGAAAAAAAGTTGTGGGTAATTTACACACGTGGATGCTGTATTGCCAGAAAAAACGGCATTTTTTGAATAAAAAATATATCATTTTTTACTGAATGGATAACAATAGAAATCAACGTAAATTTATTTCAAAATTATGTAACTACTAACAACATGTTAAGAAATGTGTTGCCAGGCTCATTTCAAGTTAGTTAAAACTTAATTTTGTACTGTATTGCCAGAAAACAGCATTGTTTTTATTGAAAATTAAGGTATACATCTTTTTACTGAACAATAACGCTATAAAATATAATATAATTCATTAACCAAAACATATAGTTACCTGACTATTTTAACAACATGCTAAGGAATGTGTTGTAAGGTTTATCAATATGCGTTACTGTTGCCAGAAAAAGCAGTATTTTTCATTAAAAATATTGTAAATATACATTTTTTACTGTATACGGAAAACGCTATAATATAAAATAATTCATGTAATTATAATATTACTATATACATGACTATTATAACAACATGTGTTGCCAGGTTTATTTCAAGTATGTTAAACTCAATATTATACTGCATTGCTTGTAAATCAATTAACAATTTAATTTAATTCTGAAAACCAAACAAATTCAAACACCATTCTGACAAAAGCAATCCAAGTGATAAATTCGCTTTCAACGAGTTATGATTTTCAACTTAAGAAGACTCAATTTAATTGTTCACCATGAAAAGTTAATTGTGCCATATACAATTGGATGTTAAAGTTCAACTGTTTAGTGGACAAGCATGTGGAGGTTGTCTATTGTGATTCTCTTCGGCAGCTTAAGGAACATCCTCATCTGACTTGTCAACAGTTTAGTAGCCTACAGTATACTACTGCGTCTTGATATTTCTCTAAAAAATAGCTTTACATATCTTTTGCTCAGATTTCGGTTGGTTTAGATAACTAACTCACTCGGCGTCCCTAGCTATTTATTCTCATGTCTTTCTCAACCTCTGACACTGACTGTTTAGAATTTCTTTAAAACATATTCTTTTTGTTGTTTCTAAAAATCATGTGTTTTTTCTTGTTTTCTTTAAATGTGAAAGTGCGTATTTAATAAGTGTTGAATATCTTTTCAGTAAACTTCCATTTCGACAATATTTCGTGTCTAAATTCGATAAAACGGCAGTGAAGGTCGCCAAAAACCACTAAATTTGGTCATTTTCAACTTCTTTTTGTAATAACTTCGCAAATACTTCATCGATTTTTTTTGGGAAAAGATAAAACTAATCGGAATTTAATAATTATTACAACAATTACAAATTTATGAGTGTAATGTTAACACCTTTATCGGACTTTTGATTTTTATCAAACCCACTATTTTTTCAGCGTAAAAACAGTGAAATCTGCCGAAATATCCCAGCTGTCTTTAACATAATTCCCTCTACAGTCGAAAGTTGTGGGCCGATTTCTTTTGGGAAAAGTCCATTCGAAAGCCCCTTTTGTCTTCTAAATGTTTTCTAAATAAGATTGATCGGTTGAGTAGTTTTATCGGACCAATTTTATGAAAATCATCCAAAACTCCTCCCCATATGCTTAAGCATTACAAGCATATGGCCAGGGTTGCCATTTGGCCTTTTTGACGGCCAGATTCCTCAAATCTGGCCGTATAAAAACTTGCCTGGCCGTAACGTTTGAAAAGTCACGGCCAAACTATATTTGGCCGAATTTTTGAATTTACATTTTTTTTTTCAATACAGGCCTAATATAACAGACTCGTTTTGGATGTGTTGTTTTTGTTAGCTTAAATTCTATATTTGATTCTAATCACAGTGGCTTGTTCAGGGGGTGGGGTTCGTCCCCCTCCCCTCTGTGAAGAAACGTAACAAAACACTATGGGTCCTGGCTTACAAAATTCATGCTAACTAGGCGCGGATCCAGACCTTCGCCCACTTCGCCCAAGCGAAGGTCAGGGTGAGAATTCAAAATAAAAAATTTTCCAACAATCATACTTACTTTCCTTGACACTTATTTTGAACATTACCATTAGAAAAATGTTTAACATTCCACACTATCCTATACCTTACACTTTTAAACTGATTGTACTGTAGGCCCTACCAGAGAGAGAGGTACGGTACATTCCCAATACATTATGGTCTTCCACTTCTAGCACATGATACAGTGCATAGAAAACGTTATGTAACCACTAATAATACTCAGTCCAGTGGCGTAGGTATGGGCAGTGCAGTCAGTGCACAGCACTGGGGCCCGGGTCTATTGGGGGCTCATTCAATAGGTATAATGANNNNTAACTTTAAAAAATCCTATTCAAACTTTAAAAGGACCCTTCAATAATATTAGGTTTTAGAGGCTATAGTTATTGATTATATTCATTACAATTTACCTATTAGGCCCACCTATTTCCCAAACGCTGCAAGTAAAAAAAAACAACAATACAAGCCCTTACGTATACGATGGACTAATATACCGTACTTTTTGAAATCACATTTCTAAAGCAATACAATATCGTCACGCACATTTTGGGTTTGTGGTACAGTATTTTAAAGTTGGTTCAACTATTATTGTGTACGTTTTCAAACACTTCAGATCATCATAACTTCATGAATAGATTTTAGATTCAGTTCACTGCAAGTAAGTCGATGACTGTTCTATTATTGAATGGTAATTGTTATCATCGTGATGGAATAGACAATACCTGGATTTGCGTCAGGAGAATCAATTAGGGGGCCTATATGTATTTTGCCCAACCTGTCGAGAAAATGTATTGAATACTCAGTGCGTGATTCACTAATACACTTTTTGAAATCACATTTCTAAAGCAATAAAATATCGTCACGCACATTTGTATTTGTGGTATTTTAAAGTTGGTTCAACTATTATTGTGTACGTTTTTAAACACTTCAGATCATAACTTCATGAATACATTTTAGATTCACTTCACTTCAAGTAGGTCGATGACTGTTCTATTATTGAATGGTAATTGTTATTATCGTGATGGAATATACAATACCTGGATTTGCGCCAGGAGAATCAATCAGGGGGGCCTATATGTGTAATTTTGCCCAACCTGTCGTGAAAATGTAGTGAATACTCAGTGCGTGTGAAAACACTTGCAAAATATATTTGCAAGTTGTTCTCCAGTGGGACTCGAACCCACATTCTCCAGATCACTAGCCTGGCATCATGCCTTTAGACCACCGAGCTTGCACCTGATGGCCAGGGTTGAATTCGAGCCAAAGTAAGCAGCGAGTACTATGATGTTGTCAATATTATAATATATCATAGATTAATGAAATGCTTAATAAGCCCTAAACGATAACATGACTTGACCATAGTTTGTTCTCAATATTCTTTAATTTTTTAACAAAATATTTTTTAGATATTTCTGAGCGTTAATGCCGTACCGTATCTGTTTTAAAAAACCTCAGAACGTATAAGCATTCAGAGTTTCGCCTGAGTAGACCCCATTAGAGGCTCTATGTCATTTTTACCAATTTTACCTAGGGCCCGGCAGTTATCTATGCTATAGTTACCAACCGTCACGCATCACTTCAAAGTGATATTGGATGAAACGCATTTTGCAAAAACACATGCGAGGTCATAAATGTGTCACGCATTTAGCACTTGCGTGATAACGAATTATCACAAAATCAGGGGAAAACGTATTTGAAATTAGAAGAAATTGGTTTTATTAAAAATATAAAAACGGTATGCAGTAGCTTGGGTCATTAGGGAGCTTTCTTTATCTCGTTCGAGAATCAATTCACAGAGAAAATTTATCCTTTCTGACCAAATCAACCCAGCCAACCACGCACTTGTAGAATCTAGTAGTCGCGAGCACTCTTGCGAGTTTATTGTTACAACCAACCGTTTAAAATGTGACGGGAACCCGAACTTCCGCAGGGGTTCCGTAATAATACCGTTATAAGAGACAGGGTCCTATAAGGTGACCCGTGTATAAGACGACCCCCGAGTTTTAGAAGATTTTTGGTTGATATTTGTATGTCTGGCGTATAAGACGACTCCCTGTTTCATGGTCGGAATTCCTAATTTTTTGTGGTCCTGTCTACTGCGTCTAGCTGGATAAATGGAGCCAAAAGCAAGGGTAATCTTCCAAATAATAACATTTTATGAGTTTTTAAATCTTCACCACCAAAATCGTATTTTCCCATATTTAAAATTGCTTTCATTGATACAACATTTAGTTGCTTCATTGCAGTAGTAAGTTCGCGTGTTAAGCTGGTTTTCCACTAAGCGAATTTATTCGCGCGAATCAAAGAGTCGGCTGCTTCCTGAGCTCTAATTGTTTG